ATTTATTTGTTGAACCAAACTCAACAAATAATTCCATGTCAAGCAAAGGAGTCGAAACCCTAGCTTTCCTTCATTCTCCTAATCCAAACTAGGTGAATGAGTTCCTCTCTTTGGACACTTGAAAGTTCAAAGAATCCTTGATGTGTAGGCCCAAATCTACTCATCACTCTCTTATGTTTGCTTAATCTAAATCTAGCTAATTAAATACCCATCGTTGAACATAAAAGTTTAATGATAATCCCTATTGTTACAAATCTCCCTCTCATATTGAGCTGAATTCAATTAGTGACTCACTTTTGTTTGCCTAATCCAAATTATGCAAATGAAGTCTAACTCCTTGAATACCAAAATTCAAGGAGTATCCTTTTGATTTGTAGCCTTAAAGCTACCAATCTCTCTTTACTTCTATAGGTCCCAAAAGACCTTAGAAAATATTATATCTTAGCCCAAAAGCTATATGATCTATCTCTTTCAGCTCCAAAGTTGTAGGAGATTTCCGCTCTCTTTAGCTCCAAAAGCTAAAGTGAGTTCTCCTACATTTAGCCCAAAAGCTAAATGTTGAGTTCATTCTTTCTCCTCTTAGCTCCAAAAGTTAAGGATAATCCCTCAACATGTAGCCCAAAAATTACATGTTTGACACCTTTCTTAGACCCAAAATCTAAATGATATCTTTCATTTAACCCAAATTGAATGATCTTTCCTATGACATTTAAAATGTTAAACTCATAGATATCCATTAGGAATTATCTAATCTGTTGAAGTTTATTCTATTCTATTGGATGAATTTCACCAAGTCCTAAGTGAAACCTCAATGGCATGTCTATCTTACCCTATTAGATAGACAATTCTCTTATCCAAACATTAAGAGAACTTCAAAACACCTAAAAATCATTTAGGCTCCTTTTGATATAATGATCAACCATCTCCCTCAAAAGGTGTGATGCCCATATCATTGTATCTTAGGATTCATAACTAACAGGCCTGCCCAAAAGCAAGCATGTGATTACTTTATAGGTTCTTAATAACCCTTTTAAATATGAAACAATTAAAAATCAAATAAAATCTTTAAGTCACAAAAAAAAAAACTTAAAGTGAAACCACCCTTGGATAAAGATTAAACATCTTCATTCCAAAATAAAATCATGGACTCTTTGTGTGACATACCACACAAGCCTCACACACTTAGGTGCACAGCCCCTTATGCATGCTAGGATTAGGATTTTCTTTTTTTGCGCTTGTGTTTGATGTTGTGGAGTGATTGCCTATTAGATTGTCTGCGTTGTGGGCACTTACCCTTAAGTGGATAGTGTAGAAATATACATGTTTTTCTTGCAGGTGGCCATATCAAAAAGGGGTGCGCTTATAAATAATAAACTATTTGCATGACATGTGCTGCTTAAACCCCCCCAAAAGATGTGGCCAATAGGGTAGAAGCAGATGTTTGGCACTCTAAGTGCTAAACAAAATTTTGAATGTATTGTTTTATTATATAAACGGCCTCTAATCCATTGCAGGTTTGAGTTTCTTTTCTTTTCAAATATGTATTTGATAGAATTGTAATTGTATCAAACTTGTGGTGGTTTGGAGCAAAAGAATGAAATGGACTAGAAGGATGTACCTGCAAAGGTGAAGCCCAATGTCCATTCAGAAGTCAAGAGCCTGAAGAACCTCCCACAAGTAGAGTATGTAATTTTGACTGGCTTGTATAATGGCAGGCAACTCAGCTGTCAAACCTGTTTGTAATAACTCGGACTCTATTTACATTCTCTGCACTTTATTTATAAATAAAAGCATGCTTTAATTGTTTACCTGATTGTGCAATAGAAATGCATCTTTTTCCTAGGTTTCTTTCTTTGCTTTATTTGGGTATGGCTTGGACTGTTTGATGCGTCAAGCTCTTAGGACAAAAGTAAAATTTTTACCCATTTAAAATGTAATCAATCTAAAAAATAATTTAGGCTCCATGATTTTCTAAATAAGAAAAATTGCATGGCTCCCTTCAAGGAGTCAAGTTTTCCAGAAAAAAAAAATAAAAAATAAACATGCATAGCCCAACAAGTGTCTCATGTAGAAAAGCCTCTACATAAGGATTAGATAACAAAATTTTTTTCTTTTTGTGAGTCAGCATCTTTATACGCACAGAAATAGGCATCTTGGCCTCAAAGCTAAGTTATAAGTCCTACATTCTAAATAAAAACAACCATCCACTCTACATTTGTATTGAGACCAAGACACATAATTTTAAAAGCGATTAGGAGGGTTTAGCTGGTAGTCTCTTCCAGGCGGGACAGTAAATCCAGAGGTCGGTCAGGCTATGCCTCTTGTGAGGTGTACTTTATAAACCCCTTTGCACTCGTTAGATTTATGTTCGAGACATTACCTATCGGTAGTCCTCACCTTAGTCTTAGGGTCCGAGGCATGGGTTGATTCCAAATCACCCTACAAGTCCTCATCCCTTGGGCAATTCCTCCAACATGTGTTGTTGGAATGTAAGCCCCAACTTTCTAATTAAAATATCAACTTAAACTAAAATCTGATTTTTAAAATATAAAGCCCAACATAGGATAGTTTGAGCACCTCTGAGTTTCCCTCAGAATCAAGTGCTCCTACTTCACATCCCTTGGCCTTCATTCCAAAATCTAATTTCTAAGTTAATCAACTCCTCTCTGAAATTCCTAAAAGACCAAATCCTTTAACTAAAACTTTCATGGATTTCAAAAATCAAATCTTAGCCAATGGTTAAATGACTTCAAAAAGAAAGCAAAACCACTAATATAATTAAAAGTTTTCCCAAGCCAAAACTTGGGATGTAATTAACCATAGGGGCTTGCCCCTATGGGACGTCTGTACCCCAGAAATAAAATAAACTCAATTCGACCAAACATCGAATGAGAGAATCTCTGTTTCAAATTGTAAATTTTATCATTAAGTCCATAAGGAAATGGTATTTTTATCCTTCGGGGTAATATATCGTGTTCTTATGTCGTACTCGATTATAAAATATGCAATCCGTTTGAGAATACAAAAATTTTCCAACACTCCACAAATCCCACTTGCTATTTTACTTTACTTGATTAGGATGATGATTAATGACCACTAATGTGCCTTATGACGTGCTTGAATTTGAGCCTAATTCTATTCTTGAGGTTGAGTTTGATTCTGTGCTTGGGCTGGAGCATGAAATTGTTCCAAACACTACTGTTGAGATGGTTCAATATTTACTTGTCAATATTATTACATTGCTCCATGAGTTAGTGATACAAGGAGTTATTAAGCTTGATTTGAGGAAAGTCAAATCTTTGTTCTTCTGCTTATTCAGATGGAAATGTTGGTCCCTTCTATATTGCTACCCGCTCTGTTGTTAGTTTCATAGGTTAAATTTATTTTTATATTGCTCTCCACAAAGCCATCAAAAGTTGCTCGGGCTTGAAAATGAAATTGTTCCAAACACTATTGTTGAGATGGTTCAATATTTAGTTGTCAATATTATTCTATTGATCCATGAGTTGGTGAGACAAGGAGTTATTGAACTTGATTTGTGGAAACTCAAATCACTGTTCTTCTGCTTATTCCAATGGAAATGTTGGCCACTCCTACATTGCTACACGCTCTGTTGTTAATTGCATAGGTTAATTTTATTTTTGTATTGCTCTCACAACGAAGCCATCGAAAGTTTCTTGTAAGTGATCATATGCATTGATATCATGTATGGAAATGCCTAAAATCTCTATTATCAATTGAGCAAATGTAGGATGTTCATAGTATCTTGTTATCTTGCTTGCTTCACCTTCTATTAGAGATTGACAAAAATACCACAACAATACTGTCATGGGATCTTACGTATGTTGCTCATCTAATACTCTTGCAAGATATATGGCAATTTCCAGTTCTAAAGCTCTTAGTTTATCTATCAACTTCTATAGTAGTTCTTTACGATAGAAGCAGACCTCCACATCTGTCAGACTACAACGCATGTTTGCTTCTTAGTATATTTAGAGAGATGCATGAGCTTATTCCAATATGACCTCCTCCATGGACACCATATTTTACCATTCAACTCTTTGGGGAAGAGTTCTTCACACCAAGGGGACTTGATGTAGCATTAGGCTATCCGACTCATCATCAGACCCAACATGCCATCATGTGTTATGTGGGCATAGCATCATCTGACTTATTTAGACTTGTCATCTTCTGCCTTTTTTGGACTTATTTTATAAGAAATACTTAATCATGAGCTATTTTATTCTGAGTTTCTCTTATAAGAGACTTTTGTCTTTTGATAAAGTTCCACCATTTTGTTTTTCAATTACTTTTTGGTATTTTTCCTCTTATATTTTCTTTAGATTCTTAAAAACTCTATAAATACAAGTGCTTGTTAGAAGGTATGAAGTATCAATAATACAGGAATATTGTAGGTAATTGTCTCCAAACCTCTTCTCCCTAGGTGTTACTGGTCAATCCTCTTCCTAGCTCTTGTTCAATCTTTCTCTCTCCCCTTCTCTCGGTCCCTCTCCTCTTTTGGCTGATTCTTACTCACCTTTTGGTGGATTTCTAATAAATGCATCCCTATTATTATCAGTCAGGCAAGCATAGATGCGAGCATCCTTCATCCTCCCCAAAACAATCTCTTTGCACTAATAAGAATTCCTCTTCGACGTCACCAACATGATGTTAGATCTTTTTGGCAATTTCAGGGAAGCCTTTGAAGCTATAGCGGAGAAAGAATCCAAGATATCATAGAATGACTCGACAGCATGGAATAGTTTCTAGAAATTTTCATGAGCTCTTATAATGCAACTTTTGTATGGTGTTTTCAATATGCTTTTAGATGGCACTTCTTCTTTCTTTTGCATCTGTTGTTTGATTTCTTGCTGGTTGTTTTGTTGATGTTTCTGTTTATCTCATGTTTTGCATCATTATTTATTGCTATATATTTGTATTCCTGTATCAGTATTGCTAGCCCTACAGTCAACAACACTGACATCCATTGACTTTAACAGGCAGCGCCAGGTTGATGACAAATGGAAACATGATCTTTTTGAGGGTGACAAAGAATCTTCATCTTCAAGTATAAAAACTGTAAAAATATCAATAGCAATCTTTGGATGTAGTTAGTTCCCTTTAGCATAATCAAATTTCTAACTTGTAAATGATGGTTACCCTGCATGTTATTAATTAAGAATCTAAAGTTGGCCCTAAGGATCTCCGGTTTAAGCTTCAACAGAAAGTTCCTCAACAAATTATCCAAAGAGGGAAAGATGCTGGAGTAAGAGATCTCCGAGAAAAACTTTCCGGTGTCATGCATTCTCAATTAACAAACTCTGATCCACCAAATGCTAAGGCGATACCAGAGAGTTCTATTCCTGTTAAGAAAAGTGTGACTTCTGTTGAAGCATCTGTGCAGGAGGTTAAGAAGATATCCAACCCAACTTATTCTGAAAAAAAGGCTAAGCAAAAGGTTAGTCTAATTTAGTTCACCTCTCCTACAATTTGTGTATTGCTTTCATGGACTAAATCATTAAAATATGTGGAATATTATTGTGTTTTTCTCCTAGTGTATTTTTTTATTTTTTATTTTATTTTTGAAGAGATTTGAACCAGTGCCATCTTATTGGAAGACTAATGGAAATACCATGTAAGCCATTTTTCATCTGTAATTTTCTTGTAGACGCGTTTGAAAGCAGCTACTCAAGGGTTCATAAAATTCAACTATATCAGCCAATTTGATTTTTTATTTTCGTTTGGAGATTTTTGTGCCTGCATTATCGGTATTGATCATTGGTCTTGTGAAGTTGAAAACAAAAAACTTGCCCCAGTGTTGGGGCTTGCTGTGGAACATCAAATAGATCTGGCTGGAAATAGGTGGGAGCGATCATGGCACAATTGATGTGGGGAGAAAACATGAAGAAGATAACTCCAAGAGCTAAACAGCTCAAAGACCTAAAAACAGTGATATACTATTTCAATTCCAAAAATACTAATTCATATTACTTCCCTCTCACAACTCCTATACTTATAAGCTAACAAAGAGACCTAGCGAAATCAAGAACATTCTAGAATCCTATAACAAACTTGTAACAAACCAATTAACATATGCCTAAGGAATAATTTTACTAATGATACTCTGCATCATTCTCCTCTGGTACGAAGAAAGACGAAGCAGGGCGTGGAGTCTGTACAAAGGGGATTTGGTCGCGGGCCTGGGACAGATATGAGATGGTGCCATTATGTCGCACTCGGAGAAAGTAACATCATAGTCGATCACTTGTACCTGGTAGAATCTAGGAAGACCCCTGTTTCCACTAGAAACTGTGACGTCAGCCGGTGAAGGTCGGAAAGAACTGTTGTAAATGGTGGCGTTTGCAATTGTTGCAAAGGAGGTAGCGGAGGAAGTACCGACAAAAATGAAAAGGTCTGAACCGGCGTAATGCTACTTACTGTCAAAACTTTCAAGAAACCTTGTTAACCTGAAGCCTCCCCGCCACACCCGTCAAGGCATTGCTGACAAACACTGTTTGATAGGTCTTCGGTGCACCACGCCATTCCAGAGATACTTCTAAGATTAGAGTGGTTAGTTTGCCTTGCTCCAAATGATGTAATAACTCTGGCTTGTAGGTAGGAACAAGACCAAAGCTATGGTGAGCCTTCACAGAGATAGAACCACATGTCATAAGCTGTATAAGCACATTAGTTGCTTTTAATCTTGGGGCACAAGAATCTTCTCCTCAAATATTCGGAAGCTCTTTATCATACTAACATCTGCTCTAATTAAAGACTCCAATGTCTCCATCTTTCTACCACAGGAAGAAGCACTTGATGAGTTTAGTGGTGGAGAGATCTCATTTCTAAATAATTCAGAGTCTTCCATAGACCCTGTGATCTGCTTCATCTTGCTTTGTTCATACTCAAAATCCTTAAAGCTATCATCAGTAGAAACTTTTCTAGTGCAATTATTCTTCCGCTCCACGTAAGTTCTTCTCCATCCATCATTAGTCTGGGTTAAAACATCAACAGCACTACCGACTTGTACACCCTGTACTCGGCTAAGCTAGGGGGCACTGTCTTAGTGGAGATATTGCTAGGGGAACCTGGCTGATGCGCTAAAGGGCATTTGCTCATCTTCTTGTCTTCGAGGAGGAGTTGGAGGCGGAGATGATGGTGATGGAGTTTTTTTGACTCCTCTTACAAGACCAGGAATACATGGCGGGCATTCCCCTTCCTCTTAGAGCACATTAAACTGACTTATAACATCTCTGAGCTAAAGACCATCGGGAGAGGAAACAGGAACTTCGATGAAATGAGGGTGTTCGAGATATCCATTTATGCAGAGATAATACACCACGGGGATGTTTCTCCTGATGTGGGAGTGTTGACTGTGGTTGTACTCATGTGCGAGACGGGAATGGGAGGCAAATCCATGGGTTTTCATGACACGATTGTACTGTGTCGGAAGCTATACGACAGGATGGATCGCGTGTAGACTGAAGTGAGTGCGTGTGGGAAGGAGTGGGAAGAAAGATAGGGGTGTGAATGAGCGCGGGAATGGGCGGAGCGGAGCTGGGCTTAGAATTGCGGGATGCAAAGGCAAGGGCGGGAACATATCTGAATCGTGGGAAATATCCAGTTTCCGTCGAAACAGATCAAATTGCGGCTGCCGGTTGGAGGTCGAATCGCTAGTATGATTGCCGGCTGATGGAGAGATGGAGCATGCTCGGGTGCTGGACTGCGGGTTCGTGTCACGTGCGAGAGTGGAGACCGAAGGTGGCTTGCTGAAGCGGAGGGAAGTTGCTGGCGGTTCGGATTGCGTCTGGTCGCACGCGGGAGTGAGGCATGGCTGGTCGTGCGCGGGAGTGAAGGCGGAGCCTGATTTGCGCAAGTCTGAAGTGGATGGCTGCTGTTGCGAGTGCCATGGACTGAACAAGCAATGACATAAGCTCCGATCGATGGTACAGGTCGATCATGAGGGGTTGTTCGTGAATGGATGTGTAGGTTCGCCGGTAAGGTTGCCAGTTGGTGGAGGCTTCGAACGTCGTCGATAGCCAAGCTTCATACATGATCTTCCCAAAGCATCCAAAATCCTGATCGATGTCAAGGGTTGATGTAACAGCAGCCCAGGGCCCTGATCGATGTCAAGGGTCATACCTCGCTCTGATACCATCTGAAGTGGGGAGAAAACATGAAGAAGATAACTCCAAGAGCTAAACAGCTCAAACACCCAAAAATAGTAGCAATACTGTTTCAATTCCAAAAATACTAATTCATATTACTTCCCTCTCACAACTCCTATACTTATAAGCTAGCAAAGAGACCTAGAGAAATCAAGAACATTCTAGAATCCTATAACAAACTTGTAACAAATCAATTAACATATGCCTAAGGAACAATTTTACTAATGATTCTCTGCATCAACAATGTATGTTGAACTCTACTGCATCTTTAAGTATCTGTTTAATGTTTTTTTTAGAATCTGTCCAAATCGAACTTCATCAAACATGAAAACCAACCCAAATAGACCAAGATAACAAGAATTCAGAAAAGTGAGACTTAATGAATTCAAGTGCAAAGGGATATGAATTATGGAAACCATTGTGATAATAAATGTTATTTCTTGTTTTAGATACTACTAAAAGATACTGAAGTATTTTGTTATCTAGGTGTAGATGTATGGAGTACAAGCTTGTACACATATGTATGAATAAAATGTAGCTCCATTTTCCATGTCTACATACAACATAGATGAAGTGGTGCTATCATACATTTACAGTCACATCCTATGTTGCATCGATACGGATACGACGACACGGATATGACACGATATGGATACAGGACACGTCAATTCTTAAAAATACAGGATACGGATACGACGCGGACACGACATTATAATTTATAAATCATAAATAAAAATTAAGAAAGCAATCAAAACATAATATTTGAAATTACAAAAAAAAAAATAACAACAACATCATTTATAGCCTTGTAGCTTATAATATCAAAATATAAGTAAGCATTAAATGTCTAGTACAACAACAAAATTCATAAATATAAATAATCTAGCTCATGAAGTTTCAACTATTCAATAGAAGGAATGATTTAATTATCTTCTTCATTGGTTTGTCTTTGAACTTCCATATCATCTTCAATAAATATCATAGCTTCTAATTTAGGCTCATCAAGTGAAAGATTAATAATTTTTAATATTTTTATATCATCAAGAGACTCAAATACATCTCGGAAATAAGAGAATCTTGCTCGAAACCATGGAAGTATATACGACACATCTTTATTTTTTGTTTCAGATTTCTTTTTGTTTTTCAACAGACACGCATATCGGATACGCATTTCCTTTTAAAATTAAATAGTATTTTAATTGGATACGGCTTTGCTGTATCTGACACGTATCGGAGGCGTATCCGTGTATCGGTGTATCGGATATATCACGCCTTCATAAATAGGTGTATCGATGTAACATAGGTCACATCCATTCTGGAATGAATGACAAGGACAAATAAAGCTGACCCTTCTAAGTTGCTGATGATATAGTAGGGATGTCAAAATCGGGTCATGGGTTGGGTTCGGGTCCAACGCGAAACTGACCCGGGACTATTTGACCCGACTCGAGTCAGACCCGTTTTTGCAAACGGGTCGATTTCTTGGACCCAACCTTCTTCGGGTTCGGGTCAACCCAAACCCGACCCGCATATTTTTATCTTTTCTTTTTCGTCTTTGTTGTTCGACTTCGTTCCGTAGAGGTATGGAGATTGCACGAGTCGCTTCTTCGGCTCCTTCAGTCCTTCATTGCAGTTCGACTTCGCTCCGACGACAGAAGTAACGACAATTTGATCAAAAGCAACCACGGGATCGTTGTGAAGGTAACTTTCTCCCTTTCTACGGTTTTTATCACGACCCGGCCCGGTTAGCTCGCAAGTGCGAGGCGAGAACAGAGGTCGGACGGGAAAAGAGACAAGTTATCATATCATAACATTAAATCATCCAACAAAAATTATTATCTTTACTATAAAAATGAAAGAGCCACTAATGCAAATCCAAATAAAATTTTTGTTTTAATTGATCTTTCAAAAGAGATAAGTACATAAAGAGTTCTTCAAAAAGAATGGATCCAAAACACATCTAACTCTCTCAAAATCTATACATACAATCATCTATCAACAAAATAACAAAACTCAAAAGAACCTGCCGTCCGTTGTCTCCCTACAACAGTAAGTGCGCGGTGGTCGGTCTGTCATTTTCTATTCGCAGGATCTCCTGAAAAATTCCCCACAACAAGGGTGAGTCATAACTCAATAGGTAAATATTTTTTCAATTAAATTTAGAGAAAACAAGGCGAGGGAAATAACATGTATGTCGATGCTTTTTGTAAGAACATTAAACAAATCATAAGAATGTAGTAGCATGCCTTTAAGTCCACTATTAAGCCTCTTTCTTTAGTTAAACTTGCAACCGATCACTTAACTCAATACATGAATTGTTTTCATGAACCATAAAGTGTTGCATATGCATATAATATAACGTATATCTTATAATCACCTGTCTCGGAAGTATCTTTTGTACCGATCAGGTACATTTTGTTTGGCCAATCATTTTCTATTTGGTTCATAAGAACCACCTTTACCATTT